CTCTTGGGGGCCTCCTGGAGCCTCTTGGGGGCTCCTTGGGGCCTCCTGGGGCACTCTTCAAACGGGAGGGTCGAATTTTGGAGTCGTGGTCCCCGTCTTGGGCGCATCGTGGGGCCGTCTTGGGCCTCTGTTGGGCTGTCTTGGGCGACTCTGGGGCCGTCTTGGGGCCCTCTTGGGCTGTCTTGGGGCGCTCTTAGGGGCCTATTGAGCCGTCTAGGAACGTCGGACAGCCGAAAAGGCTGGAAGGCCAAAATCGTTCGAAAACCTCTGTAAAATTGACGGTTTCGGCCTCTTGAAGCGCTCGGGAGAGGCGTCTTGAAGCGTCGTGGAGTGCCTTGGGGGGGCCTCTCGGGCCGTCTGGGCCTATCTTGGGCGTCCCGGAGCGGTCTTTCGGCGACTCGGGGCCCGCTTGGGCCGTCTTGGGAGCCTCTGGAGGCCCTCCTGGACTATTTTAGACCTTCCCGGCCGCCCCGTCCTCCCATGGGGGGTCGGAGGCGGCGGCCTCCGAGGCCCAGGACGCGGAAACCCTAAAAAAACACAAGGAAAATGAGCCCCGGTACCCCCATGGAGGGTCCGGGCAGCTGTTTTCGGGCACTGGGCCTCCTGAGTGCCTCTTGGGGGTCTCCTGGTGCCTCTTGGGGCCCCTTTGGGGCCTCCCGGGGCCCTGTGGAGGCGGGAGGCTCGAATTTCCGGTTCGCGGTTCCCCTCTTAGGGCCCTCTTGGGCCCGTCTTGGGCCTCTGTTCGCCCGTCTTGGGTGCGTCTTGGGCCGTCTTGGGGCCCTCCAGAGCCGTCTTGAGCCCCTCTTGGAGGCCTCTTGGGCTGTCTTGGGGCGTCCGCGGGGGGCCTTTGGGCCGTCGTGGAGCGTCGAAAAGCTGAAAAGGCGGGAAAGGCAAAATGTGTCCGAAACCTTTGTAAAATAATCGATTTTGGCCTCTTGGGGCCCTCTGGGGGGGCCTCTTGGAGCGTCTTGGGGGCCTCTTTGGCCGTCTTGGGCTTATCTTGGGCATCTTGGGGCCTGCTGGGCCTGTCGTAAAGCGCTCTTGGGGCACTCTTGGGCCGCCTGGGCTGCTCCAGGGAGGCTCCAGGCCCCCCCCGTCCCGCCATGGGGGGTCGAGGCACCTGTCATGGGGCCCCTGGCCTCGCCCCCAGGGATATATACATACATATATATATATATATATATATATACATATATATATATATACATATATATATACACATTTATGCATACATGCATACATGCGTACATGCATACATGCATACACGCATGCATGCTTACATGCATACATACAGGCATACATGCATGCAACCATACACACATACATGCATGCATACATACATGCATGCATGCATACATACGTATATACATACATACTGCATGTACACACGCGGCCCGCGCGTGTCCAGGCTCATACATCAAACACTGGAGGGCCACCGATGGGGTGCCTTCAGCTTGCGATTATACGAAATATTGAGAACCACCCCTTTGGGCATAGCATAATAAATAATAAACAGTGTGCTGAAGATGGTGCTGCCCCAAGACGGGCCAACACCCCACCCCAAGAGGCAGACGGTCCAAGGGTGCCCCCCACAAGGGCCCCAAGAGGGCCCAACATCATAGACTGGCATGAAAGGAAGTAGAGAACAAGCATCATATATTGTCATGAAAGCAGCGAAGCGAAGAAGGGATAGATCATGGGCGATGTTGGAGTCACCTTGATGCCTCAGACACTCATGGGAAGCGAAGAGCCAGGATGGTGACCTGTGGGGGGGCCGCGGGTCCCCTTCGCTGGGGCTGGAGGGCTCGATGCTGTCCTTCTAGTACCCTGTGCAACTGAGAGCCGTCTTGGGGCCTCGATGACGCATGACGGAGGTCATCTTGAGCCACCTTGAACCATGTGGCCTATCCTGGAGGCCGTCCTAGCGCATCTGGAGCCCTCGTGAAACCATCTTGGGGAATAACACAACTCCTTCAAGAAATTTGGTAGCCGTGCGCGTGCCCAGCCCAGCCAAGATCATTCAAAACCATCGGAAATAATGTCGGATTCGGCGTCGACCAACCCCAGGGATACGTTGGATTGGGCGTCGGGAAAGGGGTGAAGAAGGCCGCCGGCACGGGGTGGGGAAGGCTCTCGGGAAAGCCGTCGGGTAATTCGTGGGGAAGGCCGTCGGGAAGGAAGGTAGTCGTCGTCGTCGTTGTCGTCGTCATCGTCGTCGCACACTACTTCAATGTTCCGTCCGACGCGCCCCGACGCGCCGCCTGGCGGACCCGCCAATCAGAGTCTGCCAGCCGTACCCGCCCGTTAGAGCCCGCTCGACCGACCGGCCCGTGAGGGCCCGCTCGCCCGACCCGCTTGTCAAGGGAGTCCTCGGAGTCACCACCCTTGACATACTTGAGCAGCCCCGACCGAGGCAGGAGAGGCAACGCATACCTGGCCATCGCTCGGACGCCCATTCCATGTGCATCCTTCGACTTCGTGCGTGTATTGTTTCCCCAAAATGACCCACAGTGCTCCTCGATGGCCCCCGCCGAGACAACTGCACACGTCCGAGCGATGCCAAGGTACCGAGTGACCTGCTGAATCGTCTCCGACGCACAGCAAGCAGGAGAGCAAACAAGAAGAATCTGTGCACGAGGAGGTCGGAAAAACGTCTGATGCAAACTCTTGACTGCACGGCAGCATGCAACCCCCGTACAACCTCGGTGGCGACCGAGACCGCGCTCAAATACCCGCCACCATGCCCCTGTGGCGCGAAGTGGGCAAGCGAGCCCAGAATCGAATCGATGAGTCGGGTCGGCGATCGAAATGAATCGGATCGGCGGAAATCGGCAGCCGAGTCGGGAGAAGTCGAATCGGCGAAATTCGGCAGGCTTGTATGCCTCCAGAAAAGAATCGGAATCCAAACGGAATCCGACCGAATCGAAGCGGAATCGGAAACCATCGAAATCGAATCGGATGAATCGAAACGAGCCCTCAGCGGGGTGTCCCCAGGTGCGTTGCTCAACCCCTGAGCCTCAATCTTCATCCCTGACGACTCTCTCAGGGGTCCGGATCCCAAACTCGCAAAATGTGTGGGGCTTTCCGCGTGCCCTTTGGGGCGCGTCTAGTTGGCGCAGCCAAGCGGGCCCCAAAACGGGCCACGAGACCACCCAAAGCGGCGGTCCAAGAATGCCCCCGCAAAAGGGCCCAGAGAGACCCAACATCATGGATGTTCATGCGTTTCTGGAATGTGTTGGGTGATCTCCACGTTCCGAGCTTCCGACGCTCCAAGACGGCCCACGAGGCCCCCAAGACCGCCCGACGACGGCCCAACAGGCCCTCGAGAGGGCCCCAAGACGGCCCAAGATGCGCCCAAGATCGGCGATGCATCGCCGACTGCGGGGGGTCGACATCGCCACGTCGGCGCACCGCGCCAGGGGTCGGAGACCGCTCCTGGCGCGCAGCGGCTGCCACCGTGGGTCACCGGGGGCTCATCGTCAAAGTGTGCGGCGCGCCCCTGGCGCTCGTGGCGGAGCGCTCGGAGCATGACAGGCTCGCGCTCGGAGCATGACAGGCTCGCGGCGTGACCACAGCGGCGCTGGTCTCTTGCTGCTTCTCCCTCCTCCCTCCCATCGCCCTCGTCCTCGCCCTCCTCGTCATCGTCCTCCTCCTCCTCCGCCTCCTCCTCACCCTCCTCCTCCTCGGCCCCCTCTTTCACCCTCTCCCCCTCCTCCCCCTCCTCCCTTTCCTCGGCCTCCTCCTCCTCCTCCACCTCCACCTCCTCCCCGTCCTCTTCCCTCCCTCGCGCTTTCAGTGCTGCCAAGTGCATGCTGGGTGAGCAAGAGGGCCTTTAGCACACACATTGAAGCCGAACACCCGCCGACCGCTGCCATGCCGTACTTCCGCGTGCGCCTGCTGAGCTCGGGCCGTGTTGTTTCTGCTGGTTGCCGCGGGTCGCTGCTCGAAGCGACAAGTCCGTGTCGCGACGACGCCAACGCTGGTCTCTGACACCGCGTGGATCGCTCAGCGTCGAATGACCGCGCCTCTCCCGTGGCCTGGATCGCTCGATGCCGGCCGATTCCGGGCGACCAGCGGAGTTCGAGCAAATAACTACGCCCGCACCGGGACCACCGCCGCGTCGGCACGACTCTACGCCACGAACCGACCGTACCCCGGGAGTGGCACATGAGCACCGAATGCAGGCGGGTCCTGCGCGAGGTGAGGTGGCGGACGCGGGCCGCCAGCGCGGCACGCTGCGTTGGAGACGAGGGCGCTTACGCGCGACCCTACGCGGGCAGCGTACGCGCCAACGTCGGTGCAAACCACCCCGTTGTGTTGCGCCGCAGTCAGGGCTGAACCGAAACGGTGTTTTTCGTTTTCGGTTTGTTTTTGTTTTCCCTCGCTTTTGTCTCGAATCCGCCTCTACCGCAAAACGAAGTCGAAACGAAAACGGCCCACGAGACCACCAAAAACACCATTTGGGTCCAGCCCTGTTGCGCCGCTCGAGTGATGCCTCGACGCGCACCGCAGCTGCGGGAGCAGCAGCGGCAAGGAGAGCTGCGCCCGACCAGGCGCCAAGCCCCGGGGCGAGTCCGGGCCCCTCCACGAGCATCGGTTGACCGATCCCCACTCCGCCTGGCGCAGTCTCCGCCCCACTGGCCGACCCTACCCCTCCAGATACAGTCGCAGCGTTGACCTAAGGAACCCTAGATAAGGAACGAGGCCCCTTCTATCCACAAGTTGAACGTCGATTTACCATCGAATACCAGAAAGGAAAACCGAAGGCAAACTGTGAAGCAATCAAGGAACACGGAGCCCCTCCCCAACGAAAAGGGTTCCTTCTTCAGGGACCCGACTGTAGGGGAAATGTGCCCGCTCCTTCGGGTCTCGCGGCGCCTGTCCAGACCCCAGGAGGGTGAGCTGCAGGGGCTGACATGCCATGGCCCAGCGAGGAGAAGAAGATGGGTCATGGTCAGGCGGTGCCGACCCCAGGAGGCGGCGGCCGCGGCTGGCGCCGCCTCGTCCCAGCGCCCCATCAC